TTCCTGGTTGCTGAGATGAAAGTGGGTGACAAAATGCACTCGCTTTCCGAACACACACACACACAGGCAGCCTTTCGACAATATGCGTTTTTGCTGGTTGTAGCAGCGCTATAGCGCTGCACAGCAAAAACGCATAAAAACCAGCCAATTTGAGTTAATTTTTAAATTTCAGCGTTTGGAACCATTTATGCTTTTAGTGATCTGCAAGTTCAGTGCGAAAACGCATGATCACATCGACAAGCCTGTGCTTTGCAACTTAGGTTTGCATAACTGATTGCGTGCTCCCACGCAGCATGCGGTGATCACCTTTTGAGAGACTCTGCACGAGTCTCAGAGGCGCTATGACGAGGTCTTGTTCGGGGAATTCAAATGCTAAACTACAAAGCTGAATTTTTGGGGAAAGAATGCATGAATCATACATTTGCCCACAAGTTTGCTCATCTTTAAATCTGATATATACTCTGACCTTCAAGTTATGGCTTAATGCAAGCAACCAAAAGCGGCAGACTTAAACCTATCGCCTAGTTTTGGACAAATAGCCTGGGGCTGTGATGTTTGACTAAGGTCTGGGTTCAAGATAGTATTACAACTTCTTGGACTGGGCCGTCTGTACTTCCGAAATTACACAGCTGTAGATCACTGCATGATTCAAGATGGAACACCTGATACCGGTGTGCAAGTCTTACTGCATGATCATAGACGAAAGCATAAAAGGACACGAATTTGTACTTTTTTTAGCGATTACAACCACTAATCACCATAACAGGGAAAAATCGACCATAACAGATTTCGTGAAATTGTCTGGAGAAAACGACGGTTCGCACAAACAAAACTGAATGCAGCTAACTGGCCCAAGCCGGCCCCTACTGGCAGTAAAACCGATTTTACTCTTCTTGCCTGGGAAACAAATTTGTATTTTTGCCTTTCTGGGTCGATTTCAGCTTTTCCTTCAGATGTGGTGTTGCACAGAAGTGCACATTGCATTATGTTTTCCCCACTTCCTGCACGAGATTAGGCCATCTGTCTGTAGCATTCCACACATCATGGAGTCTGATTTTTTTTCCTGACAGGAGCACTGCACTGGAAATTCACGGCAATTATCGTCCTTCGAGTATTAGCCTGTTACAGTAGGTTCGCCTGGGCTGGTAAGACATCCATTCCATTTCGCAGATTTCCGCCCTTTTCCGCGATAAGTTTCTACAACAAGGCATCGTGTCATTCATCCATAATTTCACAAGTTTTAGTTGATCATGGCCTGCTGATTAAAATGGTATTAGTTTCCACTGACAAAACTGGGACCCAGGCTGGAACGCACGGGGTGGGCCCGTGCGATCATGCGTTTTTGCACCGGACTTAAAGTACT